ATAGTAATAGCAATAGCACTAAAACTTATATACTGCTTTTTACAGTCCTCTCTAAGCGGTTTACAGGGTCAGCATATTGCCCCCAACAATCTGGTCCTCATTTACTCACCTTGGAAGGATGGAAGGCTGAGTCAACCTTGAATAAAATCTACACTATATAAAAGATTTTCAGCACTAAAGAAAACCCTACACACATATTGCATAGGTGTTAAGTAGAACGTAGTAACCATTATGATGTTTATCATTTTTTTAAAGCCAAGAAATCTGTTCTAATGTTAACACACAAGAATTGGAAGCTAGAGTATAGGCCAGTGATGGCTAACCTTTTTCCTAACCTTGCCCTCTGAAGACTTCAGGGCGAAAAATGGCCGAAAAAGAAAGCCAAAGTTAGCTGGCCAGCGCACGCATACGCGCTGCAGCTGACAGGGCTACACCTCACCTGCCCTAACAAATGGCCCTGGATGCCACCTCTGACACGGGTGCCATAGATTCGCCATCACGGGTATAGGCATTTGCATATGGGACTAGGTCAAATGGCTGCCAGTCATTACTAGGACTGTTGTCTTAGCCATAACTGGGGTGATTATTTTAGTCATTACTGCAAGTAATGGAAATCAGCCCCTCATGCCATCCTGGATTTCTCAATAGCTTCCTTCAGTTTTGACCAACTCTGCCATTCCTAAAGAAATTGCAATATCTAGAAATTATTCAGCTTTCTAGTAGGAAGGAATGACTTTGGGAGACAAGGCAATGGGACACAACCAAGGTGACCATCATATAAATGCATCCTGCAGCAGAAATGTGGGTGGGGCAAGAGGCTCAAAAGAGACTCTCCCTAATTTGAGGACTATAAAAGAGACCCATAGGCTGGGGAGTGGGGGGGAGGAACTATTTTTAAGTTGCAAGATTCTGTTAATATAACTTATAATAAAGTAGAATCAGCTCGTTTGGTCTTGTTTCCACTCTGGTCTATTTCATTAGGTGGACATCTTTTGCAGATGTTCAATATTTACTATCAAAGTTAGACGAAGTCAGACTTTATCACTGACAAAGCTAATAAATACGGTACTTTCAAATAGTTGCTGGGTCCCTTTCTTGGGGATTCAAATCAAATTACCTGAATTGCCCAAGCCAAGAGATATTGGCCAGATGGGAGTCCACTAATTTAATAGAATAAGAAACCTTACCTAATCTAAGGATTCAATTGGACAGCTAAAAATATTGAAAATTCTGATGGAGAAGAAAAAATAAATGAGAAAAAATAGGTGTTAGTTATAATTTCGACTGCTTCTCCCTTCTGTTTGATCCTTTGTTTTTATTCACTTGCTCATACTGGCTCACTGATTGTTATTGCCACTGCAATCTGTTGTGGTTTTTAAAGCATTTTTAAGAAGCCAAGTATATTGGTTTCTTATAACTGCCCAAGATATAACTAAGCAATGCGTTTTTCTATAATAGAATGAGAAGCAAAAATTTAAGTTTGCATATTTTAGACGGATGAAATGAATGAACATCAAATAAAAACAACTAATTCTGAGGTCTCCCAAGGGCATTTTAAAAAATAGAAATACTACATTTCATTATTTAAGATTAATATTGTTATATATCAGAATGTAAAATATTTTAAATTTTAGTCTCTTAGCCAGACACACAAATGGGAGTGGGGGGGATAAGGTCAACAGAAGCAGAAAAAGTTATTATCCTGATGTCCCACAAACATATATTTCTCCATTCTAATTCATATGAAACTAATTCCCAACAAGGAGGGATCTATTTAACATCCTCTTTCGCCAGCTGTTACCATTAAAGGAAGAGCCATATATTGGCTAGCTTTGATGTCTGTATATGAGGGGTGCTTTTCTTTTTTTTCTTTTTATCTGGAAGCCCTGAAACACTACTGCTGTTCAATTCTTTGTGATTTGGGGCTTCGTTTATGGCAAGGATGTACTGTTTTGGGCTGTAAATTTCATTGTGTTTTCTATCATGCATTCAATTCAGGCTCAGTCTGTGAATTTAAGGTTTCGTGGCACACTTGAGGAAATCTGTTTGGTTTTTTGATGCAAAATTATTGAGTATCACTTGCTGTACCAATTGGATTTTGTAATTTTAAATTCTACAGGGCATTTGGAAGATAAGAATGTGTTGTCTGAGAAAATAAAATCCCAGAATATTTACCTAAATCTGCTTTGTAGATATTTTATTTAGTATGTTCTTTAAAAAAACATGTATGAAAAAATATGAATTTATATTCTGTACATGTATGCCCATGTTATGGTTGGTATTACAAGGCTGTATCCACTATTTCTCTTAGCCGGGTGAGAATTGTCCTTTCAGTGGAAGTCTTTTGTTTCTTATTCTAAAAATAAAATTAATAAAAACTGTGTTCCCATTGATGTAGAAAGAATACAATGGTTAGTTGACATTAGCCTTTTGAACTGCTTGTGTATAAAATATAACCCCCTATTTGAAATAACCTTGTAGAAGAAATAATATTTTTACTGGAGTTATATTTTACTGCTGTTTGTAATCCAAGGAGAACATGGGAGGGGCATCACCAATGTAAGAACAAAGTAATAACATCCATCTTTTTTTGGAATTAGATGGATTTAAATGTGGTTATGGCTTTGTGTACTTTTTTTAAATGGACATAGTGGCTCAGTGGCTAAGACACTGAGCTTGTCAATTAGAAAAGTTCAGTGGTTTGAATCCCTAGCGCTGCGTAACGGAGTGAGCTCACGTTACTTGTCCCAGCTTCTGCCAACCTAGCAGTTCGAAAGCATGTAAAAATGCAAGTAGAAAAATAGGAACCACCTTTGGTGGGAAGGTAACAGCGCTTCGTGAGCCTTTGATGTATAGTCATGCTGGCCACATGACCACGGAGACATCTTCGGACAGTGCTGGCTCTTTGGCTTTGAAATAGAGATGAGCATCGCCCCCCTCTCCCGAGTCGGGAACGACTAGCACATATGTGCAAGGGAACCTTTACCTTACCCTTTTTAAACACTTAGGTATAATAACTGAGATTTATTC